TTTAGAATTAAAATCTAGCTTTTCATCAGTGAGTACACACAAGGGAAACACCCTAGAAATATAAAAAAACATAAAAAATCCTTTTTTCAGATATCAAAAATTATGGTAACCAGAGAAATTGCAAAGAAGTAAAACCTTATGATATGTAGAAATTACAAAAGCTTTCAACTCTTGTTATACATGAGATAACTCTTACTGGAGAGAAAATTTGTAGATAAAACAATATAAGAATTTGTTGTTTCCGAACACACTCCTTATTGACCATTTAAAAACTTATACAGGAGAGAAACTCTGTAAGTGTAAGCAATGTATGAAAACAATTTTCCAGAATTTAAAGCTCACTGTATATCAGAGGAGTCACATAGGAGAGAAATTCTATGAAAATAAAATATGTGGAAAAATGTTTTACAAGAAGCCATACTTCACTGTGCATCAGACAACTCACACTGGAGAGAAATCCTATGAATGTGGGGAGTGTGGAAAATCGTTCAGTCCCAAGTCAGTCTCGAGTAGAGATTGGAAAATTCATACAGGAAAGAAACCCTATGTATGTGAACAATATTGGAAAATGTGCTCCCAGAAGTCACATCTCACTGAGAATCAGAAAATTTACACAGGAGAAAAACACTTTGAATGTGAACAGTGTGGGAAAACATTCTCCAGCAGGGGGTACCTCACTGTACATAAGAGAACTCACACAGGAGAGAAGCCCTATGAATGTGAACAATGTAGGAAAATGTTCTCCTGGAAGTCACAGCTCACTGTGCAGAATAGAACTCATACAGGAGAGAAGCCCTATAAATGTCAACAATGTAATAAAATGTTCTCCTGGACGTCACATCTTACTAAGCATCAGAGAATGCACACAGGAGAGAAGCCCTATGAATGTGAGCAATGTAATAAAAAGTTCTCTGGGAAGTCACAGCTTACTGTGCATAGTAGAACTCACACAGGAGAGAAGCCCTATGAATGTGAACAATGTAGGAAAATGTTCTCCTGGAAGTCGTATCTCACTGAGCATCAGAGAACTCATACAAGGAGAAGCCCTATGAATGTGAATATTGCTGGAAAATGTTCTCCCGGAAGTCTGCACTCTGTACATCAGAGAACTCAGTACAGAAGAGGAACCCTATGACTGTGAACAATGTAATACAACCTTTTCCCAAAAGTCACATCTGAGTACTCACACTGAAAAAGAAACACTGTAGGCAACATTTTTCTACTGGAAGGCAGGGCTTATTGTACATCAGAGGACTCCCATAGAAGTGAAACCTTATGAATGTGATGAATATAGGATTTTTTCTCTTAAAAACTATATTTAGTAAACATCTGAAAAGTCACACTGAAGAGAAACTTTATGAATGTAGGGTGTATAGAAAGTCTTTCATTTAAAAGTCAGTTGTCAATGTACACCAAAGAATTCTCAAAAGAAAAAGCCTGTGAATGTCAACGTAAATTGAATGAAAATTTTCCATCTAACATAAGTCAGTCCTTACTGTATATCAGAGATCACAGGAATAAATCATATAAATGGGAATGGAGTAGAAAAATGTGTTCAGAGTAATCATTCTGTTTTACATTAGAGCACTCACAAGGAAAAGAAACCCTGTATGTGTGGGCACTGTAATAAAACCTTCTTGAAGAAGCCCCAACTTACTGTGGATCAGGGAACTCTCAGATCAGAAATCAAATGAATGTGAAAAATGAAGAAATCTTATTAGAATTAAAAGGTTACTATACATCAGTAAACTCAAATGGGTCAAAATCCTCAGTAATGTAAGCTGTGCTATAAATGCTTGAAATACTCAGAAATATGAATTGATCTCTGAAGGTAACAACACTGAACTTGTTTTCAAATTCAGCTTTGCTTCAGCAAATCACAGTAGTTAAAATGAATGATATCAGAAAATTTGGGGATGATATCTCTCTACAAAAAGAGAACGTTTCAGAAGGCTAATGTATAAGATCTAAGAGTTTCCCAGCTACAGAAGTAACATGCATATTTTGGCAAGTATTTTTTTTAAGAGTGATTTTGCTATAGAGAATGTGTACTCCACTGAAAATATGTATAGAGAGAGTGATAGAAAGCATGAAACCAACCCTTGAGGGGATGGCAACACCACAATCCCTTCTATTCCATTGTCCTCTTGGGATCTTGGGCACACATGTACACACACTGGCTTGAGTTTTAAGTCTGTGACTCTGGGACTTGAACTGCATTCAAATATATGGGAGGCCAGTGGCATAACTATTACAACATCTGCTGACCCTAGCAAAAGTTTATTTCTGTGTTCCATGTTTAATGTTTAAAGATGCAACAGAATATAACCACTGATTTTGGCAAAAATAAATATTGAAATTTTTCTAGCTTCCACTTTCATGGCAGACAAGACAACAGAAAAAGTGTTTCAAAGCAAATATTATAGGCCATATAAACATTAAAAATGGTTATAGGTACTAGAGACAATGTGGGAAGTGGATGGAAGAAAGGGGACAATGTAAGGAAAGAAGTTATGGAGGAAAATAAACAGGCATTTTGGGGATATAGAAATTGAGTATAATACATTGATGATAATGTGTTTTGTATCCTCAGTTGCTCTGGTGGGAAGTTTATTCATTTTGGATAAATTCAACTTACAGGCTAAGAGATGTTAAAGTGTATAAAGTAAATTAAAATTAAAAATAAATAACACGTCCCATAAATGTCTAACAAAATAAAACAAAACAAAAAATTCTAAGGCATTTCAGAGCCTGGGAACTACTCGTATGTACTGAGAGGGCTCTGCAAGTGTACCTCTGGTGAAATGCCCAGTATTACTTTGAAAATGGAACTGATCTAGGTTGGATAGGAGGCATGTGAAAGCTCTGGGTGTGTTGAGGCACAAAATAATTCTGGGTGGTTATAAAATTTCCAAGATTCTCCAAAGATGTTGATCACAGCTTTTGTGGCTAGTGTTAGCCAAGAGGTTCTGAGGCAGAACACACACTGGTCCAGAAATGCAACCCAAGGTCAATTGGTATTGGGCTGGTTTTGGTTTTGGTTTGCCCAACATCATGACACAGGTAGAACAGACCAAACTATGGTGTGTGGGATGTAAGGTAGCCGCTCAGTGTTGACAGGAACAGGCTGGTGGAAGTCACTATGAGCTACAATGTGAAAAGTGAGATGACCAGACATACTGTGTGCACTCACATTGTCTAGGAAACATTACTGCTATCTGTGTGATTCTTCCCATCTTGTAAAACTGAATGGAGTGCTTGCACAGTAATATGAACTTATTGAAGTACTAAATTGTATATACTTGGACATGGTTAAATGTGTTTTGCCTTGATCAGACTTTACTCAGGCCTCTCAATCTTTTAGTTTCCTCTGCATACTTCCTTGTAAAATCCCTTTTGAGCAAATAACCCTGCTAAAGTAGTTTAGCAAGAAACTCCACACTAAATATCAGATTATTTTAAATAAGTGTAGGTGTGATGTCTGATCACCCTGTGTCCTCAGCCATAATCCTATTATTTCAGTTTATCCAGAATCTCTCATATTCCTAATGTTTCTTTAGTCATTTTCCATTTGATAATCACCACATTGCTCCTCAGCTGTTAGTTTCCACTGCACATGCTGTATTTGAAGTTGACCCCAATTTCTCTTCCGCAGTGAAACTCTCATTTCCGTGGACCTTAAGCTTACGATGATGGTCCAAAATAAAGCTTTTCTCACTCCATTTTAACCATTGTCTTTGAATCAATTTCTTTAAATAGATTTCAAACTTTTAGACTATTTTTCCACAGTAAAAACCGTCTTGGGATGTTCAGAGTAGTAATAATAAGTACAGAAAGATTGATGGCTTTTCAGAGGCTGGGTCAGGAGGGAGGAATGGAAAGATTTGACATTATTGTACAATAATAGTTGTTGATTGTTTAGTCTTACAAGATGAAAGGACTCATGAAGATGCATGGTGCTGATGGTCCTAGAACCTTGAGTGGAACGATGATAAATTTTATGTAGTAAATATTTTATGAAAATAAATTTAAAAATACTAAAAACACCAGTATATAAAATATATATGATCCATAGGGCTTGTTGAAGTGATACATATAGTGACAAAATAATGATCAATGTTATTCCAAAAACAGGTTAAGACTTGAATCAATGATGGCCAATCTGTGCTAAAGTACAACAACAACAACAACAACAAAACCTGATGTCTTAGTATTAGCAGAGTGTTCCTAGAAAAAATGGAGTGTTCCTAGACAGAGAGCATATGCCTCAGACAATGACTATAGTCCTGCTGTTTCCTCATCTTCACCCCCACCATCTTCTCAGGGTACACATTGACCTGATAGACTTCTCATCTTCTAAATTTGTTCACTTTTGAAAAGGTTTTTAAAGCTTCTAAGAAATGCCCATAACACCCTGGATTTTGATAGAAAGTGGTCAGATATGGAGGATCTATTGCTGAGTGAAGTAAACCAGGCTATGAAAGAAAGATATTGTATGTATCCACTCAATATATACCGACTATCTGCACTCTATGAGAGCAAAAATTGGAGGACATAAAAGCAGCGAAGGTACTTAATGAGAATAGGACAGTGTGGAATGGGGGAAGTGAAGAGAAGAGGATAGAGAAAGATAGCAAGTGAACAATAGAGAGGCAGGACGTTAGTGAGAAACAGATATGGCTTATTAACTGTTGGTCTGAGAAGTATTTCATGATGGGCAAAGTATTTTTACAAGCAAAATGAGAAATAGTGATTGACTGTTTTAAAAAATAATAATAATAATAATAATAATAACGATTGGGGAAAACATAGAAAAGATATTGAATGTTGAAGCGGGGAGATTAATGTCTTTGTACTGACTGACTTGCATGGCACTTCAGCATATTTTAATTATAAACAAAACTCTTAGTTTTGAAATTTTAAAGATCCATAATGTGGTATCTCCACCTAAAAGTTAAGTCAGTTGTTCTCCCTGTCCTGAAAAGTGTCCCTAGGAAACTAAGAATCATTTAGAATTGCCTGAGAGGTTTCTCTCAGGATATGAAGCAGTCTTAAAGAAACTCAGAATATTTTTGAACATTTTTTGCTCAGCCAGAAAAAATACTCAAGAGACCTATCACTTGGTTGTCTGAGCATTCTACTGCCACCTAGTATCTAGAATTTTCAGACACTAAAAGGATCGAATATACTCAAGGTTAAAGCCTTGAGCAATAACCATGGTCAGTATAATTTGACCTGATAGAATTTTTGGTCCCTTTTGCAAAAGCTTTTAAGTTGTGAGAAATCATTCATCATAAGCAGTTTCCTGTAAGGGACAACCCTCTTGGAAACATCATCTGGTTTTTGTGTGAGGCCTTTGTTGTCCCACCTTGCAAGTACTTAGGAAAATGGGCTTACAAAAGTTGCAGTGACCCCAATCTTCATTGGCAAAAATAAGAGTCCTTTGAAATTTCTAAATTGCATGTTCACATGGATAACTGGGAAAAGCTGGTTATAAAATCAGGCAAATTGAATGGGAAAGTTACTTTCAATGATATGTAAAAGCTACCTCAGATACACTACAACCACCTTTTTTTCAGGAGGTAAATAAAAAGTTACCAGAATCCGTTTGTGTATTAAAATTTCAGAGAGCTATTCTACTCCAACCACTCTTCCACTACCTCTCTTGCACCTCTTCATGCTCTTCTATATAATCTTCCACAACCTAAACTCTGCTCTTTAACCTCCATCT